TTTCCCTTTGGGCACCTTCTCTCCCTTCTTTGCTGGCGCCTTTTTAGGCTTGGGCTCTGGCTTTGGAGGAGCTGGTTTAGCAGACAACCTTGCAGATCTTCTCTGTGGTTCATCCTTCACCTTGGCTTTATCACCTTTAGCATCCCCTTCGGCCTTTCTCTTGGGCATGGTGGCGACGGCAGCAGGTTACAGGTGCTAGACACGAGATGCAGCGGCGCGCAGCTTTGGGTGGCCCTGGGGTCATCCTCGCTTCTTCTTCCGCCTTTTTAATTCTTTAGCTTTGCATCTTTAGCTGTGTGTGTGTGTGTGTGTGTGTGTTTTAAAGAAGAAAATCTATAGACATGGAAGATTTCTCTTTAGATCTACATATTCTTAGTTCTCCAGTGAAATACATATACATGCATGTAATATTATAAGTGTTGTTTATTAGTTTATAAAACTAGTAATCTTTAAGATCTTTAGAATCCTTCTAAGACAATCTGAAAATTGTAAAGTATAAGTTTTGACATGGACAATTAAAAAAAGTATAAAAATGAGATCATGACAAAGGAAGAAAAGATTATGGAAAAAATGTTCATTGTCTTCCATAATTAGAACTGAAAGAATAAATATCAGAATTCGGGATGAAATACAGTAATAGAGTTTTTTTGTATGTTCTGTCCCCAGCACAAACATACATGTATGTAATTACATTGTTAACCACAATCATCAACATACCATTAGCAGTGTTTGCTCCTAAGAATTTTTTATATTATGCCCTTTAATATTATACCCTTGACTATTAAAAAAATTAACTTGTATATAATTTGTATTTGTGTATGTGTATCTATTAAAAATTGTAGAGCATCTAGGTTGAAATTCTTTTCAGGTATGTGAATGTAGCTCAGTGGTGGAGTACTTGCGCAGCACGTGTGAAACCCTGAGTTCATTCTCTAACACTTTGGGAGTGGTTAATTTTAGGGTACCTAGTTTATGTCTTATAACATGTTATACACCTAAAATATACTTTTTTTTTAAAATCTAGATTCATGAATTCCTCAAGTTACCAGTGGGTAAACTAAAACTGTAGTGGACCAAATTAAGCTTGACTACTTTTAGGCCTCCTACTTGCAGATCCCTTGCTGGGCAAGTCTGGCAGAGGAGAAGAGGGTCATTCACATGAATTTGCCGGTTAGGTGGATGTGTGCACCAGGTCTCACAGTATGGTTTGGGCTGACTTGGAACTCACTGTGTAGCCCAGGCGGGCCTCCACCTCACAGCGCTTTTCTAGCCTCAGGTTCCCCAGTGGTAGGATTACAGAGGTCCCTCAATTGTTGTGGAGGTTACATTCCAGACACTCTCACAGTAGGTGAAAATCAGCAAAGTAGTGACATTATATATATATTTTAGTATATATATATATATGTTTAAGGCTCTATAAACCCTTCCCACACTCTTATAAACCTTTCCACACTTCTAATGGTCTTAGCCATTTTGTAAACTTGTAAACCTACATAATTTTAACAACATACATAAACCGTATGGTACTGCAAAATCCCGCAATATAGTGAAAAATCCGCAATAAATAATTTATATTAATATTTTTTGAAAACCCATGGGGGCCAGCAAGATAGCTCAGTGGACTAAGTGCCTGCTTTGGTAAGTGCAGCAAGCAGGGTTCAATCCCCAATACCTCATGCCATGCTGGCCCTGCCCCTGAGCACACTGAGCCAGCACCTATAATCTCAGCACTGGGGAAACAGACAGAAGGATCACTGTGAGTCCGAGCTGTGTAGTAAGACCCAGTACAAAACACATAAATAAAGTAAAATGTAAATACACATAAATACATAATAAAGTAAACACATAATAAAGTAAAATGTACAAAGATGAAGATCTCCACTGTCCAATCAGAAAACATAGATTGACAGACTGGATCAAAAAATAAAATGCAGGATTATTGTGAATACAAAAATACACATTTTGGGCCGAGGAGATGGCTCAGTAGAATAAGTGCCTGCCTGGCAA